CACACACACACACACACACACACACACACACACACACACACACACACACACACACACACACACACACACACACACACACACACACACACACACACACACACACACACACACACACACACACACACACACACACACACACACACACACGCATTTTAACGCCCACACACACACAGGTTCAGGAAGCGGGCATGCTTGCGTGTCTGCGGTCTGATGTATCTTGAAGCAACTAGTATTGTACTTTGACATCATACCTCATAACACCACCATAGTCACAGCAACAGCAGCAACAGCAGCAACAGCAGCAACAGCAGCAACAGCAGCAGCAGCAGCAGCCAACAGCAGCCAACAGCAGCCAACAGCATCAGCTGCAGGACATCAAATGTCCTAAATATCTCGAGCAGCTGGAGTCTTACTGGCTCCCTATGGCGTTTCCGTAATTTTTGCTTGGTAATGTACCGTGCTGCCTGTTCAATGTTATGGGAGCGCGGCAATCACAACTCTCTCACCATTCTTTTTCGATAAGGCCGCTGAAGACATGCTTAAATCTCAGGGAGATGTATGCAGCATCTATCTCATAGGATTTCACAGGTACATCACCACGTCCATTGTCGTGCTGGTCCTCTTCTACCAGTTCGACAGCACCTATGCTCGCAGGCCAGGGCCATCGCCTCGAGCAGGAGCCCGAATCTTCATTGCTACACTTGCAATTCGTTCAGTGGAACTCTTGCGTGGGAACTTTCAGCAAGTTCCCACAAGAAAGTGATTTTGATTTCTTAACGATTAATTTCCTCAATTGCTGGTCGCGGCGGTGTTGTTTGATGGGGACTCGTTCTTTGTGAAACTTGTTTGTTTTGCTTATAGGAGCATTAACTCAAGATACATCATCAAGTCTTGTCTGCACGGATTTGCAGGCGGCTGAGATATGTCCTTGGTTGCCGCATAGCAGGCACGACACCTGCAATATGACGGTCATCCTGGTGCCCTGTGCTCTTGCCGCTCTGCTCTTGACCAATGACTATTCCCTCATGGAGGCTCTGCGTGGGTGTGAGGGGTCGGCCTTGCAGGTGCCTTTGTTAAACAGTACTTGGAGAATGCACCATCATTGACCACAAATGTCTGCCGCAAGGTTTTGGTTGTGCATCGTGCTTTTCGCCCTTTCATTGATTCCTGATGAGCAGCGCCCAAAGTCCCTATTAGCTATTTTGGTATGCGTGTTTGTGTTGCACATATTGGACGCCGGGTTTTGTGGCGAGAGTGGGACCACCATGGCTCCCCCGTCGTTCGTCGCAAGCCTGCAAGAAGAAAGAAGCAGTGTCTATATGCCTATACGTATATGTGCACATGTAGTTTGACGTATCTACCTCTTGTGTTCATTGGAATATGCAAGCGCTTGAATGTGTTTGTCCTGTCTTGATGGCAAGCTGATCGGCGGGCTCTATGGGAAAGTGCACGGTCGCTTTAGTGCAGTTTATCAATGTGCTCAAATGCTGAGGTTCACTGAGTTGTTTTTGCACTTGAACATTTTTATAAGCATTCTAGCATGGTAGGGTTGATTGAAAGGTGCAGCGCTTGAACGTTGGACTGTGTACACTCTTGAACATGGGTGTTTTCATTTTGGCTCGCTGGGCTTCGTCGGAAGCTGCATGCGAATTAAAGTAGTTTATCAGCATTTTAAGATGGTGAGGTTTCATTGATATATTTGCATGTACTCGAATATGCTTGTGAACCTTTTTGGGTATGGTGGCGCTCACTGGGATGTGTATACGCTTGACTTTGTAGGTTCATTGGAATGCGTTCGCGCTTCAACGTGCGTAGTTGCATTTTGGCAAGGTACGTGGTTCGTTGGAACACGCTCTAACAGTCTTTTTTTGATGAATCAGCTTGCCACACAGACATTCTTTGCAATGTATTTGATTGAGTATTGTGTAGTTCAATAGAACGCATTGGCTTGAAGTACTTATACACACTTTTTGTTGGTGAGGTCGTATGTGCCTGAAACAATGTGTTTGCGTGTGTTCAGTTGGCTTTATGAGGAGTCTAGAAGGACTATGTGAACCTCATAGAACACACGTGTTTGTGCATGAACCACCTGTTTGCAGGCATCAAGAACGGTGGCACTCTATCCCCCTTGTTCATTGTATGACTTGCGGTCGTTATTGTTTGGATTGTTACTTCCCTTCCTGGTGCGCCAACAGGTTGAATTGCAGCGCCTTAGCAAGTGAGATGTCCAATAGCCCGCAAGATAAGGGGGCGTCGTGTTCCGCAAAGGCAATGCACATAACTTAAACAAACGTTGTACATGATGTTGAGCGTCCAGCATGATGAATTCAATTATCGTGGTCTCCGGAATGGACACCATGGCACCGCGTTTGACACCTGGCCCAAGTTGCCAATTTCTGCCACATTGCCGGAAAGCGGCAGGTGCTCTGGACGTTCTCGGAGTTCATTGAGGGCTTTGCCATGGCAGGGCACCCAACTTTAGCGCAAGGAAGGAAGGAACCGCACACGTGGTGGCTTTGCGAAGGTGCTTCCGCCCTTAGACTCCGCTTTTGCGTTGTGAGGGTATTTCAGATTTGCTCATGTTGTTTTGTTTTGGCGGCATTCCTTTTCATTTGAGCCTCCTCTAATTGGTAGCTCCTGTGAAGATCGCTGCAACCATCACTTGGTGCAAGCCAACAAGCCATTTAGTTTTGTTTTTTTGTTTACCCACCCTCCCCCGGTTCTTTTGGTGTGACACCCTCTTTGTTTTTCTCGTTCGCAAGAGACCTGCTTTTGCACTTAGTGGACATGCAGCCAAACAGAATCCCCAAGGTGCCGCAGTACATCTTCTGCTACCGGGAGCGGGTCAACAAAGATTTGCCGAGGGCTTGGCTTCATGTCAATGTGCGATTTGCGTTGCATCTCTGCAGCACTGCAGCAGTGCAGCACTGGATAGCCGTGATCGAATCGAGCACTTGACGCCGCAGGGGCACTAGCCTCTACGTGGTGATGCTTGGGAGCTACCGAGTGTTCTATGCGTTGAACTGGATCTACAAGAAGGCTGGTACCTGTGAGATCAACGAGTTGGCGGGCGGGGCTCGGGCAGTCAGCGACTTGTGATAGATCAACATGCCTCGGTACTCGGACATCCAATCCTGGATTGGTGGGCTGGTCGAGATCATGTTCTTCCTTGATTTCCTGAATTATAGGCATCTCGACTGCATTGATTGTCTGCTGGAAAGAGAGAGGGAAAGAGGTTGAGGGAATGCAGGCGATACTTAATTTGGCCTCAATCACATACTCCTCGCCTTGCCCCCCACTCCTCCTTCCCCCCCTTCCCTCCCTCCCCCTCCCCCTCCCCCTCCCCCTCCCCCTCTCTCCCTCCCCCTCTCCCTCTCCCTCTCCCTCTCCCACTCCCTCTCCCTCTCCCTCTCCCACTCCCTCTCCCTCTCCCTCGCCCTAAGAGGCATTGCTGCCATGCGGTGCGATTGGCCACGCCAGAGTTCCAACACCTGGCTGGGAGTACATAGATCAAAACGCCAAAGCACTACAGAATGCTTCTCAAACAACTGGCAGCAGAACGGTGAGGTTTACCGGCAACAGCATCTTGCGGTCGTTCGTGCTCAAAGTGGACACCAAGATCAACGAGATAAGCGACCAGGTGCTCCGAGCTTTGCTTTGCTTTTTTGCCTTGGGCCTTAAGTATTAAGCAAGAGATCTAATGGGTACCATAGTGGCAAAGCGCAATCTTCTTCGGAGCCGGACAAGCACTGGAAGAACCGGGGTAGGACGGCCGCTCAGGTGGAGTCCAAAGTGCTCGGCACCACTCGGCCGGAGAGGATCGAGACGGAAGGCGGTGAGATGCGAAGGCTGGATGCTGTGAGGTGCAACCAATGTCCGTTCGCTGGCACGGGACGCACAAAGCCAATGACTTTTGAAGAGGAACTGCAAACTTTGACACTGCTTTGACAGTGGCTCACGCAAACCTCCGACTAAGCGAACAGGTGCAGGCATTTGACGAAGCCTCGAGCCTCACCACAGCCTGCCAGGCGGCGCAAGCAAGAAGAGGAACGACCCATGGAGGCCGCTTGAAGCTCGAAATCCTGTTTGCGTGTGTCCTGCCTCCTTTGCAGGACGTTTGAGTGCTCGTCGACTGACGCTTCACCATACCGCGCCATGCCGCGCCATGCGCTTTCATGCGCTCAGCCAGTGACTAGCTTGGCATAAGAGAGCTGAATCTGAGCTCACGGACGGATGCATGATTCGGATATGTGTGGAAGAGACGCAGTGCCCTCAAGGAATCTTCCACGGGGGTCGAGATGGGTATGTAATATCTCACTCAGGTTTAAATGAGCCAAATAGAGTTTTGGTGCTTGGCTTAAGTTCAGGATCCCTCTAGCTCAAGTTTTGTTACAAAAACAGCGCCGTTTGCACAAGCCTGCAACAGAACATAAATGTTTTTTTGTTCTTGGTTGCTGGATTCGTCATGCTTTACTTCTACCATTCGGCTGATGTTTTATCCCCCGACAACTTTGTGGAGGTGTTGCTTGTGCACTGTGGTTCTGAAGCAGACACTTTGAACTGCAACTCCGCTGGCTGGCAACCCCGTTGCACTCTACTCGCGCATCTCACATTGCCGCATTGCTGTCGACTTTTGCTCACACAGCTTCGCAGAATCAGCGAAAGACGGCGACCGGCCCACATGCCGCAATATTTGTTTTGCCGCCACAGACTTGGGCAACGTGGGAAGTACGGCACACTTAGCCAGACCCTGACTCAAAACTTTTAATGGCACACCCACAGAGTTGGGGGAGATGAGCTCGCTGACCCTCTATCATTAGGCTGTCTGGAGCACTGGTTGCCTGTTTTGGGATGCTTGATTCGCAGATCCTACCCATGGACTCTCTCTGAACCGACACATTGCTCTCCGTTGTCAACAAGAGGAAACCGGTTCACGCTTTCACGGGCGAGAGAGTCCGTTTTGATCGAAACTCCCATGGATCGCCCCGCCCGCGCGCTTTCGGAGCCATGGGCGCCGTCGCCGTGCGCTGCGCCGGCCTCTGCCTGCTCCCAGTGCTCTCCATCGAGGCGCCAGCGCCTGAGCCAGAGGCCGGGCGGCTGGCGGACCAGCGGGGCATGCTGCTAACGGAGCTGGGACTTCTGCGGCAGGCGGAGAGCCGAAAGCTGCCGGTTCCAAATGTTTCAATCTCTATTGGCAGTTCTTTTTTTTGCCGGTGGTTCCACTAGCGCGAACAAGAAATTCGACGCATCAGAAGCACGCCTCCATTTTGACAAAATGGAGCACCAGGTGGTGTTGGCGCACTTTCTGTCGGTCCCCAAGCGCCAGTCCCTGGTCCGGGACTTGCTGGACGGGCAGCTCTGGTCGGTGGTTAGCGGCTTGGGTACCTCTCTGGGCTCTGGCTCACTTCAGATCCGGGACCTGGGGGCGCTTCGGGCCCTCACTGACCTCGGCGCTTTGGAGCTGGTGGCGAATTTGGAGGCGTGCACGTGCCGCTCGTGTCCACATCCAGAGTGGCATTTGAACAATGTCTTACTGGGCGAACGAGTAGGCCCCTAATGGTATTCTAAGTTCCCACCAAGCAGTGACAAAGTTTGAGAGAATCCTGTTCTATAAACTGTTCTATCCTTTCATTTGTCTATCTATTCTCCTCTCTTTCTATCCATTTATGTAACAATCCATTCATTTCTCTTTCTTTGTTTTGAACAAATAAACAACATAAGTAGAACACAACAAACACCTATCATAGTAATTTCTCTACAGATCCTTACATCTATTTGCCGATTTGGCCTTTGCTCAAGTCATTTGGTCCCCTTTTGCGAGCTAAGAATTCATCGGCAGTCTTGGCCGTTTACATTGACGACTTGCCCTGGAAATCAGTGCAGCAAGTTTTATCATTGGCATCTCCGCAAAACAGGAACAGTTCCGGTGGCCGTTGCGAACAGTTGGCGACTGACCTTTTCCTGGAGCGTCCACTTGGGCTGTAAAGTAGAGGTTGCATAGCCATGTTTGATCCCCGGGTTTTGATCTTTTGATCAGAGGCGCTTGGCCTCGAAGGTGCCAACGGCACCGACGAGTCGGGAGGTCGAGGAATCCCCCGAGGGCTTTCGCGGGCGCAGTGGCTGGCAGGCCTGGCGCAGGATCTGCGGTGGCTGGCGAAGGTGCTGCCAAGAGGAGACAGAGGCGGGTGACGTTGGCGGTCTGCTTTGCTTTTCTCATGGACTTTCTTTCTTGCTTCACAAGGCAAACAACAATTGGCAGTGGCCCAGGTCTGGTGGCCATGGCCCACGCTGTGCTGTCCTGGGTCATGGTCTTGAGCTTCGTCCCCGACTCCGACGGCCTGGTGCGCGTGGAGAGCATGTCCTCCATCACCCAGGCCTGGTGGCTCGCTGAGCAGGCGGCCTCGGCCAACGTGCGCCACATCTGCGAGGTCGGCTTCAACGCGGGGCACTCAGCCTTTGCGATGCTCCTTAGCGCAGATGCCAGGACGGCGGGACGGGTGGCGAAGGCCTGTTGAAAAGCTGGCTGACTTCCCTCTGGAAAATTGGAAATAGGTCATCCCTGCTCAGGATGACCTCCTTCGACCTGATGTCCAAATCCTACACACCGGCCTGCCACCGGCTGCTGCGAATGGCCTTACCCCATAGGCACATCATGGTGGAGGGCCCTTCCAACGTGACGATCCCCAGATTTGTGCTTGGCAACCTAGACCACAGGTGTGACCTCATCTTCATTGACGGTGGCCATTTGGAGGACAGGCAACCAGGCACAATCGGCGAGTCGCCCTGGATAGGTTCTTCACCATTCGCAGAGTTTAAATCGTTGCCAGGTGCTCAGCTGGCTATTCCTTTTTCATCAAGACTGTTTGCGGCCGGTTTCCATCTGACGGATCTTGGGAGGAGGAGGCGCTGTGGGACCTGGCGCATGTGTCGTTGCTGGCCACGGCGCGCAGCTTGGTGGTCATGGACGACATCGGCTGCAGCTCTGCGTTCTGCGAGGGGCCCACACGTGCGTGGCGCCGGTTCTTGGGGGCGGGCCGGGTGAGGCAGCTGGGGTGCCAGCAGGAGACGGAGAGGAGCTGGTGCTGGGGCAGCTTCCTTTTCTGAAAGCGACCAAAAAGGTCACAGGCGAAAGCGCCGCACGTGTTTCGACTGGCTTTTCTGCAATGTCGTCTTTGGCTCATGCTTGGCAATGAACGGGAGAATAAGGACAGCATTGCTTTTAATGCATGAATTGTTAAACAACCCAATGCGTTTTGCATAGTCGCAGTTCAATTGCTCGAAAGTCTGAATCAACAACCTGCAGCGGCAGAAAGAAGCTGATATCTCTAAAGGAAGCTATGCATGTAGCGATATTTGTAGCGAAACAAACTAGAGTGAAGCTGAGTTGGTATAAAGTCTTGCAATGATTGCCACCATTTGTCTAAACATTGAGTCCCCACCATGAAGCAAGCGGGTTGTTTGTGCACTCCCCCTGTCACAGACTCTTCTAGCAAATTCATGTTTGCTGTGAGTGACATGGTGGCGCTCCAGACGCTTTTTGCCAGGTGTGCGTGTGCAAGCCTTTCAAGACGGTAGCACGCCACCCCCAGCTCCCCCCCTCCCACTCCCCCCGGCGGAGCATGTCTCCACTGTCCTGTTCCCACACGGAACGGTCCGAACTGACAGCCATATTTTTACCATAATGACGTCCTCAGCCGCAAGGTAATGCGGCCCTTTGTCAAGATCACACTAGGGTTCTCCAGCGCTGACGGGGCGAGGACAAGTATTGCTGGGGCTGGGCAAGAAATTGCACCAGAAAGCACACATCAACCACACTGCTGATCCACAAGACTTGTAGGAAGGCATTTCGCGAGAAAAACGTGTTGATTCGTGGCGAACGGGGCAGCTCTTTGTCACGTATCCCGCGCGATACCATCCCCACACTAGTTTCTGAAAGCTCGATATGTTCTTGCCTTGTCAACTTGGCCCTATTTGCGGGCGCTAACATCAACGCTTGGAGTGGTTTGAGGCACGCATTGGTGGCACGGGGGGGTCGAGCAGCATGGCTCAGTTGACCTTACCTGCCTGTCTGCTCAAGCCTGAAACGGAAAAAAGCGAAAGTCGCGCAAAGAGAGGAGTGTACTGATGGTGGCAGTCCCTGTGTATCCTGGGCTCGGCAAGGCCAGTCGCCCTGGTTTGTGTTCATGAGCGTCGCTTTTGCGCGGGCAGCAGCCCGGGAAGTCGTCCCATGTTGCGGCCTGGTTGGAATTGATAAGGGGCAATTTCGGCTTTTTGTCAGTGTTACACGCAGGCTTGTTTTGCTGATTGGTAGCCTTGTTGTGGAATTATGTTGGGCTCGACTTAGTTACTTCGGCTAGCGGAATTTGTTTTGGAGCCATTTTGCACCACTCAGTTGTTGGATGTCTTTTTTGTTGTATTTCAGATCTCGTCCGGATCTCGTTCAGGCATTCCCTCGGCAGCAGCTCATCTGAATTGCCGGTTCTTCACCGAAAGCCCGCGCAAGAGAATCCCGAAGGCGTTCCCTTTCTGAGAAGGTTTCCAGAACATCCGGAAGGAATAATACAACTACAAAACTCACTGTGTTTTCAGCGGTTTATTGTTGCCGAAGGGAAGCAGCAAAGTAACATAGCTGCCACACATTGCATCCCAGCGGGTAAGTGACCTTGCTAATGCTGATGGAACTTGCGTCTCCATCGGGCGAACAAATTTCCTGAGCGTAACCACCAAGAACACACTCGTGGAATGACAGTGTCCCTGATTGGCATTGATCCTCGACCAATCCCTTGTAGAGCTGGTTGCTTGTTGTGGCAGTCTTTCCCAACAAAGTGCCAGGCATGACCCAAGGTGCTCGTCTACGTCAGAAGCGTACACAAGGAGCTGGTGAGCCTTTGCTGCTGTGACACGGCGCGCCCCCGAGACAGTTATGCTTTTTTGCTTGGAAGAGGTTGCTGTCTCTGAGGTTCAGCCAGAGGAACACGAAGAGACATTTTGAGGCTGGCGCGACTGCGCGACTTTGACCGTGGCCAAGCACGTTTTGGACATGTTGACCAATTTTTTGATCAAATATGGGCTATGGTGTTGTTCCTTGGTGTCTTGGCCAGTTTGTGATTATTCTAGGGCTGCGCCCGACGCCAGCTGCGCTGGCTGTCCTCGTTCGCTGGTTGCCTTTGTGGCCCAGATGTTGCTGGAATCGATCATTAAGCGTGACACATACACGAAACAATTCTGATTGCATGGAATTGGTCAGCTCCATCTCACGATCCGCTGATGATAAGCGATCGTGAGGGGTTGGCCAGTGAATAGTTGCGGCCGCTCGAGCATGAATACTTGCCCGAGGCTGGATGACATGTTTTTCCGAGCTGTGTCCTGGAAGGCCGGCTCGGCTTCTACCTTCTGATCGTGGGTGCAGCAGCAGTAACAGCAGCAGCAACAGCAGGAGCGACAGCAGGAACGACAGGAGCAACAGCAATTGCAATATCAAAAGTAATAGACATTCTGCAATTGTACAGGCAACAGCAACAGCAATAGCAGTATCAGAAGCAATCTTCGTAGCAGCAGAAACAGCGGTAGCAAAATCAATTAGTAGTGGTAATAGCAGCAGCAATCGCATCAGCAGCTTATGAAAGTATTGACTCTAGGATATACCACTCCAGGAGATCCTGGACAGTAAATCTTCCGCAAGCCAGGCATTGCTAAAAGGACGATCGTTGGGCAACTATACAATGTAATGCTTACTTGTATTCTAGAATTTCCTCTTTCCTAATGATTGTAACTGGGCAGACAATGTACTGGAGATTCCAAGAATACATCCAGATAGTAAGTAATACTTTCCCAAGCCTTGATAAATTATTGTTCATCTTGCTTGTTTATGTCATTAGTATTTTTGGGGTTTTCCGAATGGTCATCCCATGTAAAGGACCTTTTGATCAACCCCACATCATGTTGACAGGTTTAGGCATATGTGTGTGTTTCATGATTTCCAAATTATGCTGTTTGCATTTGGCGTCTTTCGGACGTGTGCAAAGGAAGAGATGAAGGGATAATATACACGAGGATTATTGTCATGATAAACCTGAAGCATAAACATGAAGGAAAAGGACAGCCACAAATTACACAATTTCATGATGCACTCACCTTTCACTCACTCACCTTCCACTCTCTGCCAAGACCGTTGTGACCAGAATGTGAGATGGCATTGCTTTTAGCATTGGGCTGTCAAGCTTGAGGTCTGGTTCTGTCTTGGTCCTCGGGCTGTTTGCTGTCGGCGCAGGTGACAGCAGCCTTGGATTTGGCGGTTCAGCTGCCAAGCTTAAGGCCAGAACAGACCGTTAGTAACTAGCATTGTGTTTGCCTGGCAAGGGATGCGATGGACCAACTGCCCTTGTGAGGCTTCAGCCGAGGCAGTGTCGAGGTGGGCGGGGAATGCCTGGGCCGTGGGAAATGGCTCAGGACCAAGGCACTTTGTCACGCAATGTAGCCATACCAAAGGACGCACAATGTCCAGAGCATTATTTTTCTGACTGCCAGTTTCCGCCTGCAACGAGCCCTGAATTGAAGTGATTCGACTTTCAGTCGCTTGTTGGTGCTTGTGACTGAACCGAAGTATGACGAAACTGGCTGCATGCAACACTCTGCTCCGCGTTTTGCAAAAAAAGACTCGAATGCAGGTGGTGTGCTTCAGAGAGTTGTCGGATGCCAAGTCACCCCTGCAACTTGACAAGCGCGCCTTAGCCCATACTCTCAGGCCGAAACAGCGGCGCCAGGCCGGGTGTGACAAGGGGTTCAGCCAAGGGCAGTTCAGTGAAATTCTCCCTGGAGGTCAGCGAGTTGCTGATGCTACTCGAATCATCTCCGCCGTTGGCAACTGGAAGTGGGCGCTGCTTGGCTGTAAGTCGGCTTGAGGAGAGCTTCAAAAGCTGATCATCAAACAATTGCATGGCCTAACGACAGTTGAGGGCTGCTCAACTCCGGCTGTCTTGTGCCATCATTTCTGCAATGGCCCCGATGTGAGCATGATTCGACTTGACGACCCTTTGCACTTCGGCAGAAACTGGCTTGGAAAGGAGAGGCGTTGCTAGGCCATTTTGAGGCATACGCTCAATACGTCGGGTGTATGAGGCTTGCCGTCCACTACTTACAGGAGCTCCTACAACAGGCTGGGCAGCGCACCCCAGATCGCATGAGAGGCTTACTTGAGGGGCTGACCGTGGACGACGCTTCTGTTGCGTTTTCCCTTGAAAGGAACCCCCAAAAAAGCCACGCCTTCTGCGCAGGTGACGCCAGACGTTGTGTGCTTCACAGCTGCGGTGGGCGTTTGCTCCCGCGCCTCGCGCCCTTCGCTGAGAGATGAATCGAATTGTGAACAATGCCTTTACAGGTTTGTTTTCCCCTGTTCGTGAAACAATCAGTGGCACCTTAAACAAACGAATAGACGGTTTGGGAGAAGCGTTGACGGGGGTCTAAAGATTCCAAAGCTATGTCCGTTTCGCCTTCTGGTGGGGCAAACAGCCATTTCCAGGGAATCTTACAGTATTTGAGGAGATGCCCAATTGCTCGCAAGCGTGGGGACTCCAGTTCCCCAAGTCTCGACTCGACTCAATGGGCGAAGAGAAAGCTTGGCGGTTGCCATTATTCGCCCAATGGAAAGTCAAAATGCACCCAAGGCTGGTTTAGTGGACAAGCCAGGGTAAAGTCGTCAAATATGGCACTCGCAGTTGAATATCTTTCAACGGCCCCATCGAAGGTCAGGCAAGGCAATGTAAGCATCCAAGTCAAGGCCGCCTTTTCCCACACGACTTCCCTTTTACCACGAGCTATGTGCGTGGATCTCGAGGCTGGCGTCAAGGCATCCAACTCCTCCGCCAGATGCAGCAGGTGCAGGTGGAGCCGAACGTCGTGAGCCCGGGCACCCAGGCGGCTGAGCAGCGGAGCCGCCGAGCTTTGGAGCGGCTCAGAATCCGCCATGAGGCTTGCCTTCTTAGCAGTGCTCAAAAATATGTGTTAAAACAGTGCTTGGTCGCGGTTGATTATTGAATGGGGGTTGTTCTCAAAAGATGTGCCTTGAAAAGATGTTTTCAAGATTTGTTTGGTTGCCTTTGGGTATGCAGGTGCTATGGGGGTTGCCTTCTTACTGGTGCATAAACTTGTGTTTGCAAGAATTGCTTCGGTGTTGTTGAGCATGCAACGTGCAATTGGGATTGCCTTCTTATTGGAGTGCAAACACATAGTCAAGCAACATCTGGGTCCCAACTGGTATGTGATGTGCCATGGGGATTACCCTCTTACTCGGACGTAGACATGTATGCTTAAATTGTGTTTAGGAGCCTGTATGTGATGCGCCATGGGGATTTGCGTCCGTAGTGGTGGCACTCAAAGCTGTTTTAGGCGACCAGCGGAGAAGGCTCAGTTGCAACAACTCTGCCCGGACCCCTCGTTGCGTTGCTTTTATTGGCAGGCTGCGCTCTCAAGAAAAAGCAAGCTTCAAGGATGTTGTCGCTGGGGTGTACACATTTCCTCTACGCGAGTGTTGTAGTCGAGCAAAACAAAGAATTAATACCAGGTTTCTTTCGCGTGCGGAAGTCGGCTAGTGATACACAATATAGTTTGCTGTTGGCATTGCAATCAGGCTACAACTCTGTCATAGCTGGCTGCGGCCGGGCAGGAAGGCTGGGTTGGGAAAGGCGCCCGGCCTTGACAAGCGCCTCGTTACGATGAGGGTATGTTTGAGGTAATCAGCTTGTCGCAACCTATCTTATCATTTCGCCAGGTGTCTCTCAAAACGTTCATAGCACCCCCTCGTGGCAAGCAACCATTAAATACTTCTTCGTGCCTTGCATATGAGCGTTTGAAACTCTGAATCCAGCTTGTGGTTTCATCCTGCAACCTGCGGCTTCAGCGATCGGGCTGCCTCTTTGTTCGGAATACGGGATTTGTGGGATATTGATATGGCTGTGTTGTCCGCAGCTATGAAAGCGCGAAAGTTCTTTCAGGGCTTTTGTACGCTTCAAAAAACATGTTGCGCAGGGAGGGCGGTTCTTCATCATACAGCCACCGATCTTTGGCAGGCAAGGTTTGTTTGAATCAATCCACCTTCTAAGTTGCCAGGTCGTTTTGAGAGGCGGAAGTGTTGGGCAGAATGAGTTGGGCCAAAGTGCAAAGGCAAGTAGCCACAAAATGTTTTGATGGGACTAAAGTCTTGTTCGAAAGGAGATTCGTTCTATGCAATTGTTGTGTGTTGAGCGTTGTTCGGTTGAGTGATGACATTGAGGGTGGTTTCAACTTGTGGAGCCGGTTGGCTCAGCAGGTGGCAGATTGTCCTGCATCTCCTGGAGGAGATGAGCGCTGCGCAACTTCAAGCCGACGCGGCAGGGTGGGGTCGAGTCGTGCGGGCTTCCGGGTTTGCCACTCGCAAGGAAACGGCGGAAACCCTCTGCGCGATATTGGGGTAGAATGGCCCTAAGATTTCGGCGGGGTCCGAGGAACGCATTAGAACATCCCAGCATACTTGAATCCTCGTGCGTGAAAGCGATATCGAAATTGTTTGGCATGTGAGCTTTGTAGCTGCTTGCTTGCTTGCTTGCTTGCTTGCTTGCTTGCTTGCTTGCTTGCTTGCTTGCTTGCTTGCTTGCTTGCTTGCTTGCTTGCTTGCCTGCTTGCTTGCTTGCTTGCTTGCTTGCTTGCTTGCTTGCTTGCTTGCTTGCTTGCTTGCTTGCTTGCTTGCTTGCTTGCTTGCTTGCTTGCTTGCTTGCTTGCTTGCTTGCTTGCTTGCTTGCTTGCTTGCTTGCTTGCTTGCTTGCTTGCTTGCTTGCTTGCTTGCTTGCTGCTTTGCTTTGCTTGCTCGTTGCTTGTTTGCTCCCTGGCTGTTGCCTTCTTGTCATTGTAGTCTTTCATTTGTTGTAGCTTTATGAGATCGGGGTTAGGCAACCACTCTGGGCAAAAAACACGCAAGTAAGAAATATAGAACAACATGTGCTGAAAGGTGTGGTTTGGCATGTTTTTGCAATTTTCAGGTCCTACAAGGAACCCACGTTTCTCCACCACGTTCTCTTCAGACTCCAAGCCACGTTTTGTAGCATTTGCTTGGCGTTTTTTCTGCGGATGCTTGCTACTTGAATTGTTAGCTGCGGCTAGAGCGTGTGTTTCGAGCAGACTTTGGAAAGCATCTTGCTTCGGGCTGATTATGGCATGAATTTTGTTTCGAGCAAGCGCAACTTGTTTATATGAGTCTCGGGGGTCTCACTTTTACCCTGCAAAATACGTTGTCGTGCACTGCCATCGTGATTTATTGGGAGGCTCCGAGGGCGGGCGCCAAAAACAGGCGTTACCCTTGCGGGGCATTTCAGCCCTGTGCACGGCGGCGAGCCGGCCGGGTAAGCCGCTAGAGGATTGGTGAAAGAGGACGCGCGCAGAGAGGGGTTGCTAGCATGAAACGTTTGTTTCTGTGTTCACGTCCTGCGACTTAGTGACTAGAGCTTGCGGAGCTGCGTCGCTTTTGGAAGGTGACTTACAACACAGCGATGGTCGCGCTGCGCGTCGGTGGGCAATCGCGTGACGGCCTGAGAAGGCCGCCGCGTCTCGCAGTCACTCATCAGCTGTGCGTCCAGCGTTGATGTATTGTGAAAAGTATGTCTCCAAAGATTTGCATTAGACATCAGTTTTGCAATCATAATGTCGTGGATGTTTCGACCTGAACTACTTGGACAAACTGAGGCCGGGTGCTCCGTATGCCGCGAACCAATGCTGAAGCCTTTGCCCCAGAGCTTGTTGCAGTTGCATTCGGAGGTGCTCTGCATCCACGTGTGCTCCCGAAATTGCTGAAAAATGGGCGGATTGTTGGAAAGAGTTGGTGACTTTTGATTCCTTCAAGACTGCAGGCTCGTGGTTAAATGCGTTGCTGACGGGCGCTTAAAGAACATGTACGCCTGACCAAGATTTGTTTTTGTCGGGTGAGAAAGGGGGTCAAGGCACCCTATTCGGATCTCAGGGATAGGACAAACTTCCCAGTAGAGAAGTGTTCCTTTCCGATTTCTTCATTCCCAGCTTTGAGAGCGTATAAGTTATATAAGCTATCACTGTTTTCAGTGTTTCAGCCGAAGCCCTGTCCGAGGCTGACGCTTTCACTTACTGCGCCATGGTCAGCGCCTGCAAAGAGCAAGCCAAGCCGGGGAGCATAGAGCGGGTTGCGATGGACGGCATGAACAGGGTCGCATTCACGGCACCTTACGAAGATCATGATTCGGTCTGAGAGGCTTGTAGACAGGGAAACTGGAATCATCATGATTTACAAAGCTTGTTCCGATGGTTCACACTGCTCAAATGCATCATTTGCTGGCGTTTTGCTAGCAGTCGATGGGGTATGGAGGGCTAGAGCAGTTCTATGAAATGCCAAGGATGGTAATTTGGAGTTGTGTTTGCTGCTGGACTTTTGCACTTCTAATTTTTGTTTGGTGAGGAGAAGCGGAGGTTTGAGGGATTTGGCCGCACGGAACGCTATTCGGCAATCTCCGAAGCAAACCAAGGGTCTAAACCGTCCTGATTGTGTCAAAGCTTCAACGGGCTGTCACCCGTTGAACATATTGTTTGTGCGCGTTTGTGGTTTGGAATGTCCACCCTTCGGAGACCGTGCTTCAAAAAGACAGGCCGTGATTTGACTTGAGCACTTGCGCCTGCGTCCTTGCGCCGGTGGCGTGATCGAATGGCCAAAAGACTTGATTCCTTGGGGATGGTAGGGATCTGAGTGCAGTCCGAGATGAGAAGTTTGACTCTTGCACTAGTCGCGCCTCTTGCGCTGAATGAAAATTCAGGTGGGCGAAGGTGCTGAGTTTGCTGAAGGACATGCCAGTACAAGGCGCTCTCAGACAGCGTGGGAGTTCCGCTCGGGGAAGAGAGGAGTATCTTGCTCCCATGGATAGGGCGAATACAATGAGAACCATTTTGGCAGAATGAACCGGCCGATTGACTTGACATACTAGCATGTGTGTCCTGACACCTGTCCTTCTTGGCAAAGGTCTCTGTTCGACAGCAGTAGTATGAATGATGAAGCATTTTTTGGTGGTTGTCGTGTTCTTTGCCCTTTGCCGAAGCATGCAGGCTTACGTGTCTATCATCTCCCCTTCCAGACCTGTAAAATGGGAAAGCACGACCAACTTTGACTTGAGCGGGCCATTCGGAGGTGCTTAGCCAGGGTATTCTGTGAAGGCATTCACTCTTGCGCAGCCCAGACTTCTGTAGGAACATGAAAAGGGAAAGGCAACTCCTTGAAGAGGGGTCCCTCACTTTCCTGTTTGGACCTCGGCGGGTCATTGGAATCTACCAGTGACGTGCAACTTCTGAACGGGATTTCCAGTGAGCCCTGTTGAGAACAAGGTCGAGACACTGCCAGGCATTGACGAGTATGTCCTCAGTGCAGCTATCGCCGCCAGACCCTAAGCAATTCTAGCAGAGCTCGGATTTGCCTGGAGCTCCAAAGGTCATGCGAAAGGAGATGCTTCCATCAGTCACACATTCCAATTGTTTGCTTGTTGAGGGTCGGGTGAAAGGGATTGTCATGAATCTGGATAGAGCACTTTGCTTTTTAAATTTTCGGTCCAAAAGGACTCCAAGCTTCCACAAATTCAATTCGATGCTGCTATGAGATCGAATTTGCACTTGTGTCTGAGGCCCCGGCAAAACGTCTGCGAGTTTCTGCTTTTGTATCCGGGCGATTGCAAGGCCTGTGCCCGTGGGATGCAGCCGAAGCAAGCCCTCGATCTTCTGCGCTTGGGGGGTGAGGCGCTTGGCTCCCCAGTGGCAGGCGTGAGTCGCTCCCATTCCTCAAGTGACCATCGCTTGAAGCGCTGGCGTGGACATGGACATTTCGCCAAAGCATATCCGAAGCACATGTGAAGAACCAGAGTACAAGGAGATTACGACTATGAACATGCTGAGATACATGAATCTCTGCCGTGCTTAACAGGTGTGACTTGTCAACCCCTAGTCAGTTGCAATCGCTCTGGCTTGTAGCTACTCAAAGAGGCGATCAGGGAAATGACAGCACGTGTTTGCTTCAGTCAGCAAACATACCTTGTGCTACAACTGTCATGCTTGCCAAAGGTGACGACTCAGTTGTCGTGGACGCGGCAGTTGCCGCATGTGCGGGAGCGGCGCTGTGGGTGCATGTCTCAGCAAACCGACCTGGGCTGATGGATATTGCGATGCAATTCAGGATAGGATTGACTATTTCTGCCACATGGAATCGTGCACAATATGGCAGAAATAGTGCCGCATGGATGCACCACATGAATGCCACAATTTGGATGAAATGGTTTTCAGTCCACGCGCACGCTCGGTGAATGCCAAGGCCGAAGCCATCGGGCTGCTTGGCAAGAAGCCAGGCCATGGAAGCATTGCAGAGACTACCGTTCTTTTTTTCTTTTTCTGTAAAGCCAGATGGATTTGACGGGTCTGTTGTTCAGTTCCCTTCAAGCAATATGGTTTGACATTCTTTCCGGATTGAACTTTGATGAACCCTTCTTTACTTAGTGAACAGGAAGTCCAAGAAACAAAGTATGTATCCTCTGTATCGTCACCATTCGATGTGACACAGTCTGTCCGTTGTTGGCTCTGTTGACATGGTATTTGGTTGGCTCTGCTGTGCCAAGTCCAGCCAGGCGTGCAGAGCCTAGTGGGAGCTGCGCTGGCAGCGGCGGGTGCATCCCGAAACCATCTCGCCCGCCCCCTGGTGGCTTCCTTTGAGCCAATTGTGGCTTCAATTTCGAAATCTTATGAACAGATTGAACAGATTGAAGCTTATCATAACTTATGATCCCGCGATGTGAACAGATTCAGATCAAGCGTGCTTCCACTATGTTGGTTTAGCCGGCTCAGTGAGGCAGCGCTGGTTGGTGCTGCGCAGCGGGCGGCCTGTCAGGAGTTGATGCCCGGTGCCAAGCCACAGCCAAGTGCAGAGCTTTCCCACGAGTGGGTTGCCTGGTTTGGAGGTTCGGGGGCTTCCTGTAACCAAGAGGGGCCGGGAGGTTCAAAGCCTCAAGCCGGTAGGGTGAGAGGGGAAGATGCGAGACAGGAGAAAGCGCAAAGGGGAAGTCACAGGGGGAAGTCACAGGGAAGAGTCTTAAGCTTACAGCTAAGCTTACATGTGAGAGCTGCGAGTCTGAGGGCGATGGACGACCTTTCAAGCAGCGCAATCGCGTCATGTGGAGCTCGTTACTGGACATCATTGACTATCGCTCAAGGATAGGCTGTTTCTGGTTTGGGTGTGTGGCTCCGAACCATTCAAGACTGACCAGTTGACGTTTATATATAGCATTCTGGAATGCTTATGCTATGCCGGATGCCAACCGCTGAAGACTTTAAAATTTCTTAAAGGGTGGCTAGGAGTTGCTCCTTCCGTTTGATGAACAAGGCAAATTAATTGTAAGTTGCAAAACAGCTCCGTTGATAGAAGCTCATGACGCTTTCGTCACCGTATGTACCCCACACAGCGCGCACAGCACCTGGAAGGCTCACCCTTGGGAAGGTCGCGCTGTAATGTGAACGCTTCAATCAAAAGCATACCGCTAAGCAATATTCATGCTCAGAAGAACTAAACTCTTGAAAGCACACCGACAGACAGCATGCCAGCATAAACTCCAAACACTGCGCACGTTATTCTCCAAATCAACACGGCTACCATTACTCTGTCTTTCAAGATGCCAACTTAGGACTTGTTCGTCAAAGTCTGGCTCAACAAGCCATACAAACCGACGCTTACAACAACGAATTCCCGAACAGAGACCTGCACACCAGTGCAAGCTCCCAAACCCGCTCACTTGATTTTTAACGCTTCCTGTTTCGAGTCCGTGTCGCGACACTTCCCTCCAGAAACCAAGTCACGCCAGTTCAAGAGCCTCAGTGTTCTTCATCAAAGCTCGTCCGGCACTAACCTATGACAGCTTCAGGAAGCACCCCGAGGAAGAGGGGGCTTGGCACGATGCAATTCTGGCGGAGGCTCGGTTTGCCGCTCCAGAGCTGAAGTGTGACGTGCCAAACTGCTGCTGTGCTTTCGTTCTTCCTCATTTTGCATCCAGGGGCTGGCGCACAACCTCCACTTTAGTTCCCCAGGCACCGAAAAGAAGACGCTTGCATCCAGGAGTGAGAAATGGCAGTATTTCATCGCTATGTTTTTGCGCTCGTTTTGCAAGATAGAGCCAGTGGCAGGACACAGTTGCTACGAGTGCTGAGACCGTGCGGCTCTCACGACAAAGGGCACCAGCTGAGCCGCTTTGGTTTCAATCGTGGGCCCCTTTGGAATTCCTTCCAAACGTTTCTACAGTCCCTTGGAGTGGCGAGCTTCCCGAGGTACGTGATCGAGCCTTTGGTGGCACTCCTTGTCAAGCAGGGGCGCCCAGCTTTGTTTTTGCCTTTCTCAGGTGCACTGTATACTCACCAAGTTACCGCTATCAAATGGAGGGGTATTTATTTTGGGATGTGTTTCTTCCTTTTTTTTCTTTTTTTTCTCGCTTTTGGCTTCTTGGCTTCTTGGCTTTTTGACTTCTTGGCTTTTCGGCTTCTTGGCTTCTTGGCTTTTTGGCTTCTCAGCTTCTGGGCTTTTCGGCTTCTTGGCTTTGGCCTTTCGCATCCTCTGCATTCCCAGTTCCTCTTCGTCAGGTGGCATTTTGGCTTTTGCGGCTTTTCGCTGGTTTATGCGGCTTTTGGCGGCTTTAGCTTTTTGCATCCTCTGCTTCCCAGTTCCTGTCCGGGCTTTTTGGCTTTTGCACCCTATCATTGGTTTTTGGATGTGGCTTTCCGCATCATCAGCATCACCAGTTCCTCCCTATTTGAATCATCACTTCTTCGAACATCATGGGGGGGAAGCCCCCCCCGCAACCCACCCGCTACTGTTTAGATTGCTTGCAGAGTAATTGCACCCTTATTTGAATCAACACTTCTTCAAACATCATGGGGGGGGTGCCGCCTCCCCCCCCGCTACTTTTTGGATTTATCTTGCAGAGATTGAATTGCACCCCTAGTTTAAATCATCACTTTTCGAGCGTCCAATTTCGCGAGAAAATGCTGCACAATGCGACATTTTAGGTATTCTGTGTAATCCATGTATGTTTGTATGTAAGTACTTCTTCGAACATCATAGGGGAAGCCAACCCCGCCAACCCTCCCGCTGCCTTTTAAATTCTATCGCACCCTTTCTTGAATCATTGCACCCCTACTTGAATCATCACTTCTTCCGACATCATGGGGGGGGCTGCCGCCCCCCCCAACGCAAACCGCTACGTTTTAGATTTTCTACAGAGATTTAATTAATAGTTGAATCATCAATTCTTCGAACATCATGGGGGGGCCTGCCGCCCCCCCCAACCCCCCCGCTGCTTTTTAGACTTTTTGCAGAGATTTAATTGCACCCCTAATCATCACTTCTGCAAACAACATCATGGGGGGGGGCTGCCGCCCCCCCCCCCCAACCCCCCCGCTATTTTTTTTTACGGGATTGAAATGCCCTCCTATTTGAATCATCATTTTTTTGACCCCGTCAATTCGCCAGCTACTTTTTTGATTTTGTTACCCACGATTTGCTGGTGATGCTAGGGATGTTGGTCGGACGTGCGGGGGATGTTGAAAACGATGCTGGGGATGTTGACGGCTTTTTGTAAAATGCATCAATTTCGCGAGAAAATGCTGTAAACTACGAAATAAATCCGCACCCCTATCAAATTACGGCGGTCACGTTGGGTGCGCGATGCTATATTGGCCCTGGGTCGCACACAGAAATTCAAAGTCTGAGCCACTGAGCCATCTACCTCTCATTAAATCCCACATTCTAACCCTGCATGGTTGAGGGTAATCTATCCCGGACTCAGCTTTTGGGTCGGACACCAAAGACAAACAACGCAGTGGAAGCTATGCTAGCCGATGGAGGCTTCGCTTGGCTGTCTTGCGCCCATCTGGAGCGCCAGGCCGCGCTCAAGGGGTTTCAGGCGACAGGACCCGCTGCCAAATCATTTTGAAGCTTCCCTTTCCCTGACATCGTGAAGATGCTCGATCGAGAACAACACAGCAGCCGCTTCGTGCAAAACGTTAGATTCGTGTAGTACTGGAATCTTGAAACAGCAAATACATCAGCGCATGGCCGCCCCATTGACGGAGACTAGGCAGAGCTGTCAATCCCGGCACTCCCAGCTTCAATGTTGATGCGTTTGCCGAGGTCATTCGGCTCGGCATTGAATGGGGCTGCATGGCTTCAACATTCCGTATGCTCATAGTGGTAGTGATGACTTTTTGAACTAACAAGAACGAAAGAACTGTTGCCACACGGTTCAACTTTGTTCAGCGTTTTGCCAAGCTGTCTAGGACATTCTGCAGGGGCGCTTTGGCTTTGGTGGATTTGGCAAGGAGGCCAGACATGGGAGGGGTCAAGGGAGATTGTAACACGTTTCCTTCCTGAAAGAGCATTCAACTCCAAGGCGTTCTTGCAATTTGTCCCTTAAATTTGGGCTAAGCCATGCTGTTTGCGTCGGCGCAGACAACTGGTGTGCATCAATTCGGAATTGCCGTGGTCCTACGCTCTTCTCTTCCATTCACAATTAATCCTTTTGTAGCTTGTTCTTCAGGTTTCACTTTGGACTGAGCGCAGGGCTCCGTTTTGCCTGCACCTCCCTCCCCACCCCAATCGACAGTCTGGCGAGGTCCCTTTGATGAAGTTGGCCAAGTTATTCTCCAATATTCTCTAAGCTACTGAGTCAGCTCGCAAGTCTGGCAAGTCACGCGGAGTGGACTTGATAACCCAAGCTAGGCAGCTTGCACGTCAAGCAAATGCCTTGGACAGCAGCGTGATACAATGAGATGCCAGCAAGCGGTGTGTGCTTCGGCTTGTGAAGACGCATAATTTGACCCGTTGAAAGAGCTGGGTTGTTCGCTTCGCATGCATATCGCTCCATTGTTTTTGAGCTTTAGAAGCCATCCTGAGAGTATATTCCCTTGGTCAATGACAATTCAATCCACCAGCATGTTTTAACATTTCCATGTTACACAGCGGGCTGCCCGTCTTTCACTGCACTGAAAAGGCCTCAGGCTTGGCTTGGTTGGAATTGCTTCCCGCCATCAGACCCTTCGACTACCCCTGCGGCCTGTTTTCTGTTGATGATTTATTTTTGTTTGGGTATCTCAAATCTGGGGCACCTGCCTCCAAATGACTCGTTTCACGCAGCTTGCTTTTTGAAGCTACCCAAAGCAGGTGGTTTCCTAATTTTTGGATATTCCCATATGCGTTTGTTTTGTAAAGGGCGAGTCTTCTGAGCTTCAGGCGCTCTCAGAGCTGCGCGTCGAGCCCACTGAGAGACTGGACAGACTCCAGGAGTGGCCGAGGCGCCGCAGAAGGGGAGTTTTCGGCATCGCCCAACCAGGTCAAGCTTGTGTTGGTCTGCTTCACTAATAATATCCTTTTGGGGACAATCCTTGGAAGGCCACGGGCAGGTCCGTGACGTGCCAAGGAGCAGGAGTCATTTGAAAGACAACCGGAGGTTGTTGCGTGATGCTTGGTTGAGCTGAAGACCGATTCTTTTAACAAGATGAAAACACGGTGATCATAAAATACGCACTGTATACGGTGGTGGTTCGCCGGGTTATTTGAACAGCGGTCTGCAAACGCGGGAGCATTCCGATGTCCATCGGCCATGGCTAACTCAGAAGCTGAGAGCATCCACACGCTTGCCAAGGCACAGCCACACCGCTGCTGAGCCAGTGGCACGCCTGGGGCTGAGGAGGCTCAGGAGGCTCAGGAGGCTCAGGAGGCTCAGGAGGCTCAGGAGGCTCAGGAGGCTCAGGAGGCTCAGGAGGCTCAGGAGGCTCAGGAGGCTCCGGAGGCTCAGGAGGCTCAGGAGGCTCAGGAGGCTCAGGAGGCTCAGGAGGCAGCTTTGTCCAAGAATGGGAATCAAGCTTCTCTCTTTAGGAGATCCCGAATCTCTGAAGTTTTTTGAGAGTGGTAGGTCACAGGCTTCACGGGCCGTTGCCACACACACCTCTCCACTTGTGGAGTGTGTGAACACCACCACATCTGAAAAGCCGGGGGTCCACATGTGGAGTTCTTGGAGAACAGTGTTTTATGAATGTGGATCAATCCCCAAGGCGGTCCTTGGGCAAGTACATGCCAGTTTTAAGAAAGGTAGGGCAAAATGGAGTACCAACCGGAAATTTGCATTGTGATTTTTTGGTTTGTGTGTGTGTGCCCCCTGTTCCTAAGGGGCCTTCCGGGTTTTTGCTTGTTTTCTTGGAGTCGGACTCCACCTTGCTGGATGTCTCAACATGGAGTAGTGCCACCTACCGATGGCGTCCCTGACGAGGATGGTCGATGGCACGAAAGATGTTTGAGCATGCAGTAAGCCGAAACTCCTCTTTTCAATCTTCAGGTTGCAGAGTTGGGGTGCGCCTTCATTTCATGCTGAACCTCCTATCAAGTGTGTACCGGCACTGCTTCCGAGCTACGGTCAGTGTCGTGAACCCTTCGGGGCATTCTATTTGCCTCATGCACAGACCTTTTCTTCTGACCTTTACCGCTGACCCTGGTGACCATTACCGCTGACCTTTTCTACTGATTTTGACCCTTACCGGACCACGACTTTTCCCAGACGTTTCGCCCGACCTGTCTGACATTTTTGCCCAAATTGCATCCTGTCAGGTATGTTTGGCTTACGTGTGACATCCTCTCATGAGGCGCCCTGACACAGGTTCTATGTCTAGCTCTAACTCGGCAGGACGCATGGCGCCAAAAGTCTGTCTCTTTGGCAGGGCGTAGGCCCCCGCACTCACCGGTGACCAGCGCTCGGTCTCCATCTCGGGCATTCCTTGGACGACCTGAGCGATCGCTACGCCAAGACGGTGTCCAGCGCTATCAACCCGCAACTCCGGCGACCTTTGCGCCTCCCTCGGCAACCTCTGGCTTCTCCGCTGGCAAGTCCTCAAAGTCCAGGCACTGAGGAAAAAGGCTAAGAAACATCACGCGGAATGATGGCGGCGCTCTTTTTGGTCCCGTTTTTTCGGGTTCTGGTTGTCTTGAGTGTTCCCCCTTCGGGGTGTGTGTGTGTGTGTTCCCTGTTGCTAAGGGGCCTTGTTTCCTTGGAGTCGGACGCCACCTTGCTGGATGTCTCAACATGGAGTAGTGCCGCCTACCGATGGCGTCCCTGACAAGGATGGTCGGTGGCACGAAAGATGTTTGAGCGTGCAGTGAGCCGAAACTCCTCTTTTCAATCTTCAGGTTGCAGAGTTGGGGTGCGCCTTCATTTCATGTTGAACCTCCTATCAAGTGTGTACCGGCACTTCCAGTGTCGTGAACCTTCGGGGGCATTCGATTTGCCTCATGCACAATGCACAGACCTTTTCTTCTGACCTTTACCGACTGACATTTACCACTGACCCTGGTGACCCTGACTGCTGGCCTTTTGTAATTTTGACCTCAACGACAAGCCAAGGACCGTTTTCAACTGACTTTTTGCTAGACCCTTATTACCATCTCCGGCTTACGTGTGACATCCCCTGATGAGGCGCCCTGACGCAGGTTCTATGTCTAGCTCTAACTCGGTTGGCCCCGCGCTGACCGGTGACCAGCCATCTGCCTCCCTCGGCGGCGCTGGCAAGGCCGGCGCTGAGGAACAAGGCTAAAAGACATCGCGCGGAATGATGGAGGCGCTCTTTTTGGTCCCGTTTTTTCGTTCTCTTTTCTTCTTTTTTCATTTTCTTTTTCGTTTTGGTTTGTTGCGCAAACGCACGTGCCACATCATAGGCGACATTGAGTTCGCCCGCAACGTCGGATTCGACGGTGTAGCGGAACTCCAAAAGTTCCACCAATCCCATTCCAATTGACACTGACTGGACTTCCATGTCTCGTGAGAGCCCAGACACCAGGTAAGGAGACCGGCCACGCAGTAAGGATCTCTTCTTGTTCTTCTTTGTCTAGGTCGTTCACCTTCGGCTTCACCTTCGACGGGAGTTGACCTACGACGGGAGAACGTCCACTCCCTTTCGATACCTTGCTGTACAACATGTTGGTTTGCATGCTTTCGCATTTGCTTACCTTTATCTAGTTGTAGTTTAGTTTTGAGTCAGTGGTGTCTGAGAGACACCGACATCGCCTCCAGAGAAGAATGCTGACCAACAGGTACGATCTCACCCACTTGAGGCTTCTGAAAACAGTCAGACCGACGCTGGTTGCTGTCGAACTCTCTGGAGCGTCTCGTTGTTTGGTTCGTTGGTTGCTGGTTTCGTTGTTTTTTGTGTTTGTCTTTTTGTTTGTTTGTTTGTTGGTTTGTCGGCTTCTCGCTCACTCGCTCGCTCGCTCGCTTGCTTGCCTGCCTGCCTGCCTGCCTGCCTGCTTGCTTGCTTGCTTGCCTGTTTGTTTGTTTGTTTGTTTGTTTGTTTGTTTTTGTTTGCGTGTTTGTGTGTTTTTGTGTGCTGGTGAGTTAGTTGCTTAGTTGCTTAGTTGCTTAGTTGCTTAGTTGCTTAGTTGCTCAGTTGCTCAGTTGCTTAGTTGCTTTGCTTTGTTGCTTGGTTGCTTGGTTGCTTGGTTGCTTGGTTGCTTGGTTGCTTGGTTGCTTGGTTGCTTGGTTGCTTGGTTGCTTTGTTGCTTTGTTGCTTGGTTGCTTTGTTGCTTTGTTGCTTTGTTGCTTTGTTGCTTTATTGCTTTGCTTGTTTTTTTGTTTGTTTGTTTGTTTATTGGTTTGGTTGGTTGGTTGGTTGGTTGGTTGGTTGGTTGGTTGGTTGGTTGGTTGGTTGGTTGGTTGGTTGGTTGGTTGGTTGGTTGCTTTTTTGCTTTTTTGCTTTATTGCTTTGTTTGTTTGTTTGTTTGGTTGGTTGGTTGGTTGGTTGGTTGGTTGTTTGTTTGCGGGTTTGTTAGTTGCTTTTTTTGTTTTTTTGCTTGTGTGCTTGCTTCCTTGTTTTTGCTGGCTTGCTTGTTTGTTTGGTTGTTTGTGTGTCTGTTTTGATTGCTTGTTTGCCTGAGTGTGTTTGTGTGCTGGTTAGTTAGTTGCTTAGTTGCTTAGTTGCTTTGTTTGTGTGTTTGTTTGTTTGTTTGCTTGCTGGCTTGCTTGTTTGGTTGTGCTTGTTTGGTTGCTGGGTTGCTGGGTTGCTTGGTTGCTTGTTTGTTTGCTGGTTGCTTTTTGCTTGCTTGGTTGGTTGTTTGTTTGCTTGTTTGTGTTTTGGTTTGCTTTTGCTTGCTTGGTTGGTTTGCTAGCTGGTGTTTGTTTGTTTGTTTGTTTGCTTGCTTGCTTGCTTGCTTGTTTGCTTGTTTGGGTTGAGTCACGTGTTTGAGCATGTTTTACTGCGCACGAGATGGCGTGTGTTTTGCATGTTTTTGTTATGCGCTGGACCAGGCTTCTTCGGTCGGTTTCGGTTGATTTGCTGATTGTGAGAATTGTCATTTGGGGGATCTGTCATGTTCAGTGGGCGAGCCACAGGAGAGTTGACCGTTTCCCTCAAGTACGCCGTGCAATGTGGAGGAGCAAGCCAGGCTACAGTCACGGCTTCTTGATCCAACGAAACAGCATATTGGAGGGCGCAGGTGCGGGCCCACTCCATTTATATTCGTAGCAGTGTGAACAATAGTATATTCAACCTATTCTGCAAGATTGTATGTTGGTACTTTGTGAGGGCCACGTCAAAGTCAGTGCCCAATCTGGATCCCTCCCAAACGGCCGATATGGCGTGAAAGGAAATGGATTGAGCCTCAGGACAGCCGCTGTTCGGCCAAGCATTGGTGAGGCGGGCCCCAGACCTTCATACCAGCTGGCCGTTTTGAAAATTCTCCAGCATTGCAAATGACATGTATGTATGTGTGAAGAATCTCCGGGCCACAGGCCAAAACCCGCAGGTTCTGAGGGTCACTTCCCCTTGTTTAAGGTCTCTCAAACCTTTAGGGGAATGTTGTTGTGCGAACAGCCGACACATGCATATGGATGCTTTGGCTCAAGACTAAGATCCAATAGAGTGCTGTAAAGAGACAAAAGGGCCGCGATCCGCTGTTGCAGGGAGTCGTGCCCGACCCCTACCACGCGGCTTTACATCCGAGGGTAGTGGCCTCGTCCTTGACTTCGTGGTTGGATCGCGGCAGGTTATCAGCCGAAAGCTTACAGTGGTCCCAGTGGAGGACTGCAACTGCGATACACTGTGCAACCCTTTTGCATCATATTTACAGCCGCACAATGGATTCTTCCGGAAGCCCAGGGACTGCAACCTTCGGCAATGACCGTGGTTCTACAGCTACGTTCGCTGTGCCGGTTTGTGGACTCAACAAAGTGCAAGTTCTTGTGTTAGCCACAACTATTCGCAATCCTTCTGGAGGGAAATTGGTCACAATGCATGGCCCAAGGACGGAGAGAAGAAGAGATCTTCATCGGGCTCACTTTCCACACCAAGAAGGAGTTCATGAGTCCTGTGAGAAAAGAGAAGGGGCGATCGAAGTCGCCCACAGGCTCAAGTCCGTCAAAGATCATTCAGGAGAACAAGACCCTCAGGCAGGAAGTGGAAGAGGCTACGCGCAATTTGGCTTTGCTACGGGAGTCATATGATAGTCAACAACGTGACGACCGTGGCAATGTTACGCGCAGTCAGGAACTGGAACGGAGAGCTGGTATTTCGGAACAGCACGCATCTTCAAAAGATCCGACAAACAACTTCGAGAGGCTGCTCAACACATCGATATTCAACGTGGGAAGACACAACTATCCGAGGATCAAGCGCATCATCTTGTGAAGATCTACGGAGAGTATCAGGAAGAAGCCCGTCATAAAGTCCTCGAGTACGAGAAGCGGCACCATATGAGATATGGCCACAACCGTTGATCTTCTTGAACATCGGCTCAGATGTGAGGAGGAGAATGTATTGATTACAATATCAGGCAATGATCAACTCCTACCAGACAAAGATCAATACGGACTCGCAGAATGAGGCGAACACTATTCGTGGTTTGCGCGAGAGACTGGAAACAGCATTGATGCCACAACCAACAATGGCGATTGATGACGAGCCACAAGGTACATTGGCGAAAAAAGTGAACGACGCTATCAGATACGCTGCAAGTGAGAGGGATGAATTGAATGTGATCGGCCAACGTGCAGCGCAGGAACGTGACACGAAGATGAATGAGGAGATCCAGATTGCGAGAGATCGAGCTCATAAAGGAGATGCGCTGTATGAGCGCACCCAAAGAGATCAGGAGTTCGACGACGTGATTCGCGAACTCGCGGCATCAAGGCAAAAGGCCAGCGATGCACGATCTGGTTACCTCAATCGCATTGCCGAAATGGCCGAGGAAATCAAGAGGGATTTGTTTATCAACTGGCGAAAACGAACAGAGAGCTGGAAAATGAGAACACTACACACGACATCTTGGGGATGGACTCCAATGATCGTGGACGAGCTCTACTGAGGGAGATTCCGATAGGACTGGTAAACGCCATAATTCGAAGGCTAGTAAGAGTAATACCACGGAGGGACCTCAATCACATGGTCAGGTATCAGGACTTCTAGTTCTAGTGTACAGGCGCCCACCGTTTCAAGACCACTACCGGGTGTGTGTGTGGTGCCCTATTCCAAATGTTACATTTGGTTCAGCTGGCAATCATGGAGGTGGTGGTCACGGAGATGGCGGTCTGCCTGGTCTCGGTTATCACAACATGGATGATCATGTGGAGGGTCAAGGACGTGTTCCTGTCCCGACCACCTGACCCACCTGATGACGATGATGACGTCGACGATGATGAGGACGAGTCATCCGATGAAGAAGATGATGAACGTCATCGCAACAGGAGATCACCACGGAGGAGAATGTCGAGGGATCATCGAGGTAGCAACAATGATCGACCGAGGATCTCGTGGAAGGAAGCCAAGAAAGTCAACGTACCACCATGGCCGAGGATCACAACTGGCCGGTCATTAAGGACATGCTTTTTATGCCTTTTTTTTGTGTGCTTTTTTTGGACCGAAAACCTTGTTTTTTCGCGTGCGCGTTCTTTGTCAAAACAATCCGTTTTTCGGAAGTGTTTTTTTTGCCGAAAATCTTGGGGAGGGAGGGGGGGGGGAAGAATTTTGGGATGCGCTCTTACTCCGAGGTGGCTTGAACTTGACTTGCGTTGCTGCATGGCCAAAAGGACCCCAAAGAAGAAAGTCAAGAGGGAAGGGGCGGGATCCGCTTGGGCAGAAACATGCAGCAGGGGAACTTGGCAGCCTACTGGTTACAATCGTTGGCCACCTTAGCAGCCGATAAGCAAGAAGCAAAAGGCCGTGCACGCGCAGCTGCTCTCTTTTTTTCCGGCATTGCCCCATGCCAATGGAAAAGAGATACAGCTGGACAGCGCCAGTGAGACCCCGTCATATGGCAGCTGCCAGGTTTGCCTCAGGCACTGGCGCTGGCTGCTTTCGCCTCAAAACAAACTGCGTTTGTCATAAGCGCAAGCTGGTCCAACTTGCTGTTTAAATCACGCAGGGCCTCTTCAAGCCGCGCGTTCTTTTCAGCTGCTTCACGGAATTTCTGCTCAGCCTGGCGGAGACGGTCACACCAGTCCCGTGCACCCATGGTAGTGCTTTTGGTCCAGAAATCTAATTCTTTCTTCATGGAGTCATTGTCCAGCCGCAGCCGATCTACTTCAGCAAGCAACTCATCATGGTTTTGGAGATTCAATAGTTCTTCCTTGGTGAGTCGCACACGGATGTTGCAGGTCCGGTTGTTCTCGTACCTGGCCCAGTGCAGTTTGCAAAGATGTTTTGGGCAGGCTCAAGAACACAGTTGAAGAGATAATAAAACACATACTACAATTATTGACTGAACTGTTATTCCAAGCTGCCGTCTCTTAGTTGCAGTTTTGACATTCACGGGGTCGGCCTGCAGCTTCTTGGTGTTCTTCATCTCCCCCAGCTCGCTCTTTATTATCACAACCATGGCACGCCCCCTTTGGCAACGGCGACGTGAAGTCAGGCGGCTGGAGCTTGACAAAGAAAGTAGCGAGAGTCCACCCCCTGCCCAGATCTTTTCAATGCTGGCCCATAAGAGTTTGTCAATGGTCGAAAGGTTCAACTACCGGCAAGTCAAGCTTTAGATCCCCAAAAAACAAAAAGTCCAACTTGCACAAAGTATTCAAGCACCACAAGAAAAAAACTACCATTCGGGCACTGGGCTCGGGCCCCAAAAAGTCATTCCATTCGGGCCCCGAAAAGATGGCTGGTGGACACAAATGTGCAGATTGAAACGGTGGCCTCCAAAGAGCCCCTGGAGGAACATCCACAGCCAAGAGCCCCGGGCCCCGAAAAGTTGTTCGATTCGGGCCCTGATTCGGGCCCCGAAAGCTGTTCCATTCGGGTCCCGGATTCGGGCCCCGAAAAGTCGTATACCATTCGAGCCCCGAAAAGATGGCTGGTGGACACAAATGTGCAGATTGAAACGGTGGCCTCCAAAGAGCCCCTGGAGAAACATCCACAGCCAAGAGCCCCGGGCCCCGAAAAGTCGTTCGATTCGGGCCCCGATTCGGGCCCCGAAAAGCTGTTCCATTCGGGTCCCGGATTCGGGCCCCGAAAAGTCGTATACCATTCGGGCTCCGAAAAGATGGCTGGTGGACACAAATTGAAACAGTGGCATCCAAAGAGTCCCTGGAGAAACATCCACAGCCAAGAGCCCCGGGCCCCGAAAAGTTGTTCGATTCGGGCCCCGATTCGGGCCCCGAAAAGCTGTTCCATTCGGGTCCCGGATTCGGGCCCCGAAAAGTCGTATACCATTCGAGCCCCGAAAAGATGGCTGGTGGACACAAATGTGCAGATTGAAACGGTGGCCTCCAAAGAGCCCCTGGAGAAACATCCACAGCCAAGAGCCCCGGGCCACGAAAAGTTGTTCGATTCGGGCCCCGATTCGGGCCCCGAAAAGCTGTTCCTTTCGGGTCCCGGATTCGGGCCCCGAAAAGTTGTTTGATTCGGGCCCCGATTCGGGCCCCGAAAAGCTGTTCCATTCGGGTCCCGGATTCGGGCCCCGAAAAGCTGTTCCATTTGGGCCCCGGGTTCAGGCTCTAAATTGTTTTCAAGCTGGAAAAACTCTCCGTGTTGGCTCCGAAGACTTGTTCAAAATTTGGGCCGGGTTCAGGCCCCGAAGTTGCCACAGAGGGAGCAAGGGACAGTGGCGCAATGGCAGCGCGCCCGAACCAACCTGCGGACCCGCAGTTGGTAGGGAGGTCGCGGATTCAAATCCCGCCTGCCCCCATCTTTTGCGCAGAGTGACCCTCGGGGGGCTTCAACAATTCAATTGCCGAAAGGAGCTCTGGCGCCTCTGGCAGGCATGGCTGGCCTTGTGATGTGGAAGGTCTGAGAAACACATGAACACGCAGTGGCTGTTGAAACTCACGCGGGCTCCTTTTCAGACTCTCAGCTTTCCCCGCGACATGTCAATTGCATGTCTCCCCGACCATGTTGCTACTAAGAAGCAAGCAGCAATTGCAGCTTGCAAAAACCACCGTTTGGGAAAACAGCAAGGCATCCAACTGCGGGGGCGCAGTTGTTTGAACACCTGATCCAATCTGTACTGGAGTCAAAGTCGATCAGGGCTGAACTGCTCCCAAGCCAGTGTTGTTTCGCTTCCGGAAGAGGCATCCTTGGGGGATGGCTCAGTTGTTGCATCGCAGCTGCAAATCGTCGGCGCTCCCCACGTAGAACTTCATCCCGAAGCCAAACTTCTATGATTGTCCAAGGCCTTTCACCACAAAGCTTGAGTTGTCCAGCTTAACC